TTCAAATAGATAAATAAATTACAATGACAATGTCATTTATGTAGACCAAAAAATAGTAGGGGGCTGAGTACGCTCCCCTGCGGAACGCCAGAAGTCACCGGAAGGCAGCCGGATTGTTGTTCTCCCACTTCAACGTATTGGTTGCCGTTCTGTAGATTAGCTGAGATCCAGGAGATGAATAATTCTGGTATACCAACTAACTGAAGCTTTATAATTAGTGTATCGTGTGGAGCAATGTTGAATGCTTTACTGTAATCTAAGAATATTGCATCAGTTTGGCCATTAGCATTAAAACAAGCTGCAAAGGTGTGAATGATAGTAACCAAGTGTGTTGTAGTAGAATTCTTTTTGAAACCCATGTTGATGATTTGTTAAAACTAAGTGTTCTCCTAAAAATTAATTTCATTTGGAGGCTATTATATGTTGTATTACAGCATGATGATGTTAATGATATCGGTCAGTAATTTTCTACTACAAGACAGTCGCCTTTCTTGAATATAGAAAATATGCGTGCCGACTTTCAGACCTCTGGCAGTTCCGCTGACAACAAAAAGGCACAAAAAATGACGACCAAGTGTTTCGCAACAAACTCTGCAAAGTGATGCAAAAATATGTTCGGGATATTGTCGGTTCCGCAAGAAGTTTGTCTTCGAGTTCAATAACTAAGCAATGACACAAGAATAAGAAACGGCCCCGCCGCGGTGGTTTAGTGGCTAAGGTACTCGGCTGCTGACCCGCAAGTCGCGGGTTCAAATCCCGGCTGCGGCGGCTGCATTTCCGATGGAGGCGGAAATGTTGTAGGCCCGTGTGCTAAGATTTGGGTGCATGCTAAAGAACCCCAGGTGGTCGAAATTTCCGGAGCCCTCCACTACGGCGTCTCTCATAATCATATGGTGGTTTTGGGATGTTAAACCCCACATATCAATCAATCAATCGAGAATAAGAAATGTAATTCACATTCGCAGCATGGTCGGCACTTACGGTAAGTGGGGAAGCACTAGGAGCAAAAAATACACTATGAAGATATTCATTGAAATGATGAGCAATGACAGCCTGGTCAGGTAACATTGAACCATTAACAACTTGTGATATAGGTTTCTTTTTTTCGTTTATATAGTTCCAGAACTTGTTTGAATTATTTTTTATGAAGCTTGCAAGTGAAGAATTGAAGTAGTGCTCCTTCGAGGCGTGCACTACGTGTGAAAGCTTATCTAGAGCGTCAGCTATAAATTTGGCGTCAGCATGCTTTTTCCTTAGTCTTTCGGCGTTACGCTTGAGGTGAATGATGCCTGTCGCTATCCAGGGAGTATGTTTATGCACTTCTTTACGTTTAGATGGTATAAATTTTTCTATGCAGTAGAAGCATAAGAGTTGAAATTGGTCCCACAATCTGCAGACATTGGTATCTACAAAATCCATCAAACAAGTTTGTAGGTGTTCGATAATGCATGCGTCATTGGCACCTGTATAGTCTTTCACACAACGAAAGGACGAGCTTGCAGTTTCCGAAAGCGGTACCAGAGGAATAGAAACTGAAATAAGGTAGTGATCAGACAGCCCTTCATCAATTACTACAGTATGTATACTAAATTCACAAGGAATAAATACCAAATCTAAAGTAGATTGAGCAGTACACTAATAACGTGTTGGTTCATGAACCAAATGTGTCAAATTATGTGCGAGCATGATTTCAAACAACGCATTTGCATTGCTGGCATTGACTGTAAGGGTTTTAGAATGTTCCTAATCTACTCTGAGCAGATTAAAATCACCAATTAAAAGAACTTCATTGTCCTGGTATTGAGACATGTGTGCCTTTAATTTTAATAGATACTCAAGAGTTGACTCAGGCGGTATAAGATGAATGAGTGGCTTAAGATGAATTAGTGGCCCCGCAAAGTTACTTCAACACAGATACATTCAAGTATTGGTATGCTTCCAACGAGACAGCATCAAATTTGTGTTGGATCAGGACGGCCACACCACCTCCCCTTGATTGCGTGTCCTTATGAAAAGCTGTATATGAAGACGGCAAAATGTCGCCATCATTCACCTGTTCATTTAACGATGTCTCAGTTATTACAGTAATGTGAGGATTGCACTGCATTAGAAAGATTTTGAGGTATTCAGTTTTATTCATAACACTGCGGGCATTCAAATTAAGTAGGTGAAGTAGCTTGTGCTCATGCATACTACATCAGGTGTTTTTAAAGCCGGTCATTTTTACCCGCCTGTTTCGCACCTCATCCCAAAAATACATATCCTTATCTATCTTTAGTTGATCGTGTATCAGGTTGATTCTTTTCTCTTGTTCTGTCCTGGCCTTTGGGCTGTGCCAAAGCGAACTGCGTTTCTTTAGCGTTGATTTGGAGTAATCTTTCTTAACAAAGAGGTTTGAGCCCTTCAGTTTGCTTTTAATTTTCAATATCTGTTTCTTTTCTGCAAAGTCGTCTTACACTATTACAGGTCGCTTCCCCACGCACTTGCCCAGTCAGTGGATATGCCCGACAGATTCACATTTAACCTGGAGCTTTTCTTCAGAAAAACCCTTCACGACCTTGTCCTTTAGCTCTTCTGATCCTGCTGAAATTTCAGCTATTGCATGAATAATTACATTTGAACATCTGCTGTAGTCCTCAAGGTGTGCTGTAGTCCTCAAGTTTGAAAAGACATCACGTGTTCAAACGATTTCAATCTGGCATGCAACTGATCAGTGTTCTCATGCTGTACTGAGCGCTCAGACGCCACATTTTCGATGGTATGCCTAAAATCGAGCATCTGTTCTTTCAGCTCAGAAAAGTGCATTTTAGCTTCCAGTAGTTTCTTTTGCAGTTCTGCCTGACCGTCAAGTACATAGTTGCTCTTACAATTCCTTTTGGGTGGGTCCTGGGTTTTCCTCAACATCACCACATATTAGTAGGTTGCAAAGGAGAAAGCAGTCATATGCTATTACAAAACAACAATGTGGGCACAGCAGAACCAATAAGCCTCGACAATCACTACGTATTAAACTTGTATGGGAACTAACCTGCACCAAGCACTGAAGCGTTCCGTTTCATGTTATGGCAGCCTTGGATCCACCATGCCCTCAGAAGAAGAAATTATGCCGATGCTTACTTATAGTGAAGCCAGATGATGACTGCTATAAGCTCTGATGCATGAAAGAAAAGGCCAGTAGAACTGTGCTGTTGGGTGACAACAGTGTTGAGAACAGGCGGCCTGTGATAATGAGCTGCTTCGTGTCATCGCAAGACGCATTAAGTGGCTGAGCACATTCAAAAGCACAGAGGCCAAGCAACACCTGCACCAAGCAGAGAAGTGTTCTGTTTAGCCGCATGGCAGCCTTGGATCCTTTGTGTCCACTATTAGACTAATCTGAAGACTATTTTCAGCCTGCATATTTTCATTTGGCTTAGCTTGATAAAAACTATGCTTTCAGGTAAAGTATTTAGATTAGTCTAACAAGTACTTGATTTAGTGAGTTCATAATAAATATGTTCATGAATAAATTTCTACCATATAACAAGACTACCAAGACCCTATTTTGACGATTAGAAAAAGATAAAAAACGGAGAGACAAGCACAATTTTCCTTCAACTAATGGAAAATTTATTGTTTTGGCTTTTCTGAGAGGCTCTTTTACTAATTTTATCACTTTTGAATATGCCTGTATTGTGTACCACTATCTTGACAAAGCCAAAGCCAATATATGCCAAGTTTCTTATGGAAGTCTGCAAACTTTTCTTTGAGGTTTGGATATTTTCTTATTTTCAGCTTGCAGTAACATTTCCTGAACGACATGCCGCTGAAGTTTATGCTACTCACGATCACAAGCCTCGGGCACAAAAGAAAGACACAACACAGCGATATTTAGTGTGCAAAATGACTTTCCTTTGTCGTGCACTTTCATAATGAAAATGGCGCATCACAATTCGCTTTATTTCACTGGAAACAGATACGGTGCGCACAGGCCCCATGCAAAACAATGCAAACTGACCACGACATGTGCTCAGGCGTCATTGTGTATAGGCGATGACATTGCATCTGACTCCTCTGATGACAGTGTTAGTGCCGCATATGTGGTTTCGGTTCCATGTGATTATAATGCACAGACAATCTTTGTTTTCATTTTCACTTTTATTTGACCTTTTTTTTGCCCCCATTCTCTTGCATTTTTCCCTCTAGCCAAGCTCTTGTGTTATTCTGTTCTCCACTGTACTCCAGTTGGGGAAGTAAAAAATTCAAGTAGAATACAAAGCAATAAACGTTTTTTGTTGCTTTCTTTGCTGTAAAACCGGCCCTTTCTCCCCATACAAGTTAGGGTTAAGGGAGAAGCCAGTTTCCACTTATCTCGCTTTCTCCCTCCATATTGCAGTTTACTTTCAAGGTGATTCGAGTCTTTGTGCAATTTTTTTTTCCATTTTGCTTTTCCTTGTTCGCCTGAATGCCCTCATCAAGATTATAATGTTCGTTGCGCAGAAACCCCGTCATTGTTGATTGCTGCAATAGTTAGTCTTAAAGAGGTACTGACACAAAAACTTTGGCCTCGCGTTTTTCTGCTGCAATGTGTTGTTGGGGGCTCGTTATTCTTAACACGACACATCGTTTGCTGTAGCATGCAACAGATAAATAATTACGGGCCCCTCATTATTGACGAGTTTTGGTTTCAGAGAGCTCCAAAAACGAAAAGCCGCAGGGTGCAACTATCGCCACGTAACATGTGCAGCTCTCGACCACGCCAGCACACAGAACTGTGACTCACTTCTGCATGGTCCGCATCAAGAATTACTTTCGAATAGGAAACAGGACTGTAGTCTTGCCTAGAGTTATATGTATAACTAATATCGATCTGATCATGGTAAAATGACATGGTACTACTGAAATCCAGCTTTTTTTTTTCTGTGCTTCTCAGGCTGTGCTTGCTCACTTGTGCATATAGTAATTATTAGCAGAGACAGCAATAATTAATTTTTGCTAAGATAGTGTCTTTTCTTTCGCAGAAGGTGCAGAAAATGGAAGAGCAGCCCGCCTGGTCTCGAAGGCTTCTTTCCGAGATTTCTGAGCGGACACCAGATGTGCAGCTGATTGTCACGCAAATAGAAAACTGCTTTCGACTATTAGTGCCCAGTGAAGCAGAAGAAGACGCAAGCAAGGAATCTGTATCGGCTATAGATCCATTGCCAGGAACATCATTAGCCGAGCGTCTTAGAGATCATGCAGTGCCTTTGACATTCAGTATGGAAATAGAAGTGTCACGAAAGGTGAATGTGCTGAAGACAGCAGACAATGAAGAGGTTTTGGATACCCTGAGACGACTTCACAAAGAGTTGATGGAGACATTCTTTCCAGTGGTTAAAAAGTGGCTTAAAGGTCTGGCCAAGTTTGACCACCCAATGGAAGTAATGAGGAACACAATTGACCTCAAGCATCGCATTGAAATTGTGCATGAGAAGTTTGGAGATTTAAATGTTGGATCTGAGGAGTCGTCTGACAGTGAACTTGAAGAGGTGCCAGAAAAAGAAGGCTTTGAACCTGTGGTTCCTGTTGCACGACGGGCGGAGTACGGTGAGTCTGAGTAGCAATTTCACAACCTTTGCTGATAACTTCCATGTGATCTTTTTACAGGTCTTGGGCCGGTAGAGAAAAAACTAAAAGTAAAGACACCAGATAAAGCTGCTCATCCCAAGGAACCTCATGAACTGTCTGACCCAACCTCTAGAGAGGCACAGCTTCGAAGGCTCAACAAGTTGCTTAGCAGTGAATGCAGCAGTAACAAGTGCGTAATAGCACGTGTTTTATGGTTGCTATTTTAAGTTATATCACCTTTTTTCATTTTTTTTTCCTTTTCTAGTGGTAATCCGAGTGGAAAGATCGTGCCCAGTATTAAGTAAGTAGTAATTATTTTTTTTCCTATAAGAATTTGTTTGGCAGAGCAGCATTTCTTGCAGAGATCTCGAGGAGGCTGGTCCAAGCACATCGAACAATGCTCCAGTGCGGAATATTGACCTAGACTTGATTTATTGGGAACAAGAAAAGATTGAAAAAGAAGGAGGCAGTGGCTTCAGTGACCTGAACTGTGTCTGGAAGGGGACCTCCAAAGATGATAACGTGCAAGCACAGGTGTGGCAACAATCAGCTTTAAAAAATGATAATAAAGGTTCTTGGAATGTGGCCAATTCTTCACATTTAGTGGGCTTTTTTTCTGCAGGATTTGCCTTTCCGGGAACGGTGCATTGAATTTAGTGGGAAATTTGAGCCAGTTAAGTGGACCTGCCGTGCACCACTTCCAAGTGGCAAATTGTGTCCTCGACGTGATCGGCTGAAGGTGAGTACACACCCTTCATTGTACCGATCCTGTCCCACCGTGCAAGGTATTGCCATTTGTATGTTGTGTAAAAGAGGGTGGCTTGGTTATTTTTTAATTTAATTTATTGTATATTTAACTGGTATTGTGGCTTTTAGGGTGAACACTGTTAATGTGTCAGCAAGATGCTAATGAATTAAATTTTTTAATGCACTAATTTATCTATGTTCTTGCTGAATGACAAAGAGTGAAAGTGATACTCACTAAATGCGGTTGATTTAGCATGATTCTTCTACATTTTACTGCATGATAGTTTGCAACACTGTTGGAGATATTTATATGGTGACAGAATAGTATGGAGCAGTAACTTTTCGCAATTCTTTTTATCTTTTTTTTTTTGTCACTTTGCTTGTAAAACTCTCCTCTGTTGTTTCATTTCATCTTTGCATTAGCGTTAATCATGTCTTATATAAGGATAGGAGGGATGCATGCTAGAGGGCCATGTACTGTGCTATGTTGATGCACATTAAAGAACTCTAGGTGATTGAAATTTCTGGAACCCTTCACTGCGGCATTCAATATGATCATATAATGGTTTAGCAACATTAAACCATAATAATTACTGTATCATACAGTTAAAAAAAAACTTTATTGAAGCTACCACATAGCTTCTTGATCTCCTGATCCCTGTAGTCTCAAACAAGCCTTGATTAAAAGTTTCTCTGTTAGGCAACAGAGTTGAGCACAGCACCACTGCTTGGCTGGAAAGGATGGTGCACTTTGCAAGAATTTCTGCGAATTATCCTTCATACGCAGTAGCCAATTTCATTGAGATGTGGCCGTGTAATCTAATTTCTGAAGTTAAGGCGGATCATTGAGTGAGGGGACGTGAAAGAATACAGGAATAGGCCTTTGGCATGTTAAAGCACAGAAATGACTTTAATGCAAGGGTATACCTCTCCTAGACCTGTATGGACCTAAGCTGTCGCTACTGCTGGTATTGGTTACCATTTCACAAGCATTTAAGGCCAGACTATTTCAATTGTGAGCATGATAATGTCTGTAACTGACTATATCTTAATAATAAACATAAGAGGTAGATATATGTGAGTGCATTATATGTGTGCAGGTTTATCATCATCATCATCATTTATTGAACCCTTGAAGGCCCCTTGCGGGGTATTTCATAAGGGGGAGGCAAAAACACAATTCAACAGATGCATGATTGTCAATGGTACAAAGCATAATCGAAAGCGAAACTACACGGTAAAAAACAATGTCAACAGAAGGAAAAATATATATATACGTGGGAGAAAAGGGCAACAATTGTAAATTAACTAACATATAAAGTGATTTGTGATTAGCTGTTTAAATTTTAAGGGGTTTTGTTCGTGCATTATGGATTCAGCATAATTATTGGCATAATTAGTGACATAATTAGTGACGTGGCTGTGCATTTGTCGCCTGACAGATCAGGATACTGCACCTTATACTTTTGTACGTACTAAAATATTGATGTCCACAGTGTATAATGAATAAAGTGTGCCTAGTTAGCATTGCCTTGCAGGCGATATTCATACATGTTGGGAAATATGCTGGTATAAGATAGTATCAGTGGGCACCGAACCAAGTTAACTGGAGATTGTTGAGAGACATCTTTTGTTCCACACTGGAGTGCTGATTCTTTGATGAGGCCATTTAACTTGTTTCCTGTCAATTCATTTCATTGAGCAATGTAGGAACGAAAAAAAAAAAAAAGAAACGAAGAGCGATGCTGGTGCCACCTGCATTGCTTGCTCTGCTAGTGACAGTCATGCAGTGCAGTGCTTTTGCTGTTTTGCAACATAAGAAACACATTATATATTTCGTTTTTAAATGCAGCACTGAGCTAGTAACACCTCTTTCAACTGCAGAGACTAGCAAAAGACTCAGTTTAGAGAAGTGCACATTATGTGAAGGCTGCTGCATTTCTCAATGTTGGAATTTTCTGACTGACTTATTGGCACAGATCCTCAATTTGGTGCTCTATTCCCATCGCAGCAGACAAATTTAGTGCATAAGGCAAAAGATTGAGCATGTGACAGAATTATGAAGAGGTTGGCATAAGGCCTGTCATGATGTGTCTGTGAACATTTGCACTACCCTGTAGCATGTAAGGTTGAAAAGTTTGGCACTTCTGATGTCCTCCTCTGTTGCAATAGAGTGGGCTTGAATAATTTGCTTTTGTTGGTGGTGGTGGTGATGAATGCTGGGTCATAGGTATGAATGAGGTTGTGGATGCCTGGTTTAGAGATGGGTACACGCAGTGCCCTCTGCATGGCCCTATTGTTGCCAGGGATGATCTTGGCAACCCGCGGGACTCGAGCGTAGTGCAGCCAACTCAATGTGTTCCTGAGTGGCAAGATCCCCAGCTGCTCCGTGACCTCGAGGCTGCCACAGGTGTCCAGCTCCATGTAGGTCGACCAGTGCGGAAGCAGCACACCCGTCGCGGTCCAGTAAGCACTGCTAGGATGCGCCTTGAGAAGAAAATTTTTAACAAGTGAGTGCCGTCAGGAGGGAGCTCTCCATCCAAAAAGTATGCAGTATCCTGTTCGCATGCACAGCTCACTGATCTGCGCATGTTGCGTAAAACTTCTTTGGGCAGACATTGCATCTGTCTTAAATTATCCCTTGTAACTGAACTATTTTGGAAAGCTTTAATTAAATTTGTAGGAATATATATGGCTGCTTCAACCTAAATAAGCCTGAGGACTCTGCACATGAACATGTGCAGCAGGGGGCTTTCCCAAATTTGCTTGGAAGCACGAGTGGTGCTATTGTAAACGAGAGGGTCCGAGCAGCTCACAAGTGCATGCAGCTGCATATGAAGATATTGAAGCACTGTTTACATCAATGCTTCTTTGTATGATGTATCACACGCCTGAATATAAACTATTATTCATAGAAAAATAGGCTTAAAAAAAAGTCTGCTTATTGGCATAATGCCACCTTCATTGCATTATTATGAAGTAGTGCCATGATGCCAACTTGCATACTCGTATGCGCATCAAAAATTGTGTAAATTTTTGGCAATCTTATGTGAAGTTGAGCCATATATTGAACTATTTCCCTTTTTTTTTAGTTTGGTGTATGCAGGTTGAGCTGTATAATGAAGGCGGTAAAATCTGGAAGTTAAAACATTAAAGTGAAATTACGTTATATTGAAATAGGCCTTTTTGATACAAAGTATAATCCCTGACAAAGTCCTCTCTTCTGAGAAGGTGTTGCAACAATATTCATATGATAGGGCAGTATAAAAAACTAATCTAAATAACATACTTCAGTCAACTTTGTTGAACCTGAGATACAGTGAACATGACTTCATGGTGACTGTTTGTCACGCATAAAACTGAAATAGCCATTCTGGTGGAGGCGAAATGCTAGAGGTCTGAGTACTGTGCGATGTCAGTGCACGTTGAAGAACACCAGGTGGTCGAAATTTCTGGAGCCCTCCACCACGGCTTTCCTCATAATCCTGTCATGGTTTTGGGACTTAAAATCCCATCTATTGTTCAACCAAAGGAGATGCAGCTCCAATGCTATGTGGATGCTATACTCGGCGACAACTTATGTTGACATTGGAGTGAAGGCTATGGAGGTGGGGCTTCCACACATTCGTGTTGCTCTGCTGGTAGTACGACAGCTTGCAGCTGATTTTGGTTTTGCTCGCTGGCATTGTGAATGCCTTTAGTAAATTATATACAAGAAAATATGAATAGGAGATCCATTTCGATGGTTCAGTGTACATTTTAGTACCATATTGCAAGTATATCTTGCTTGGAGAACTAAACATTGTTTGTGGCCGCACACTGACCCACAGTGTCACGAACACAGTGTTTACTTTGTAAAATGGGCATGCTGAAAAGGTGGTGATATCTAACAAATGGAAAAAAAAATGAAGGCTTTCTTGCAGAGAATACAATAGCTGTATTTGAAATATGACTTATTGTTACTATTCGAGTCTTGCATGGAATAAAGCAGCATTTATCTCAGCAAGGCTAAATGAAAAATATCATCAGTAAACTTGCGTGCTGTTTTTTTTGTGCGGAAACAGGCTGTGTAGCCTCCACATTGCTGTCAAGAAAAGTTGTTGCCGTGTATAGAGTGACCTAAAGCAGCTGCAGTGCTTATTTTGCTGCCATGGCTTGCCATCAAAACGTGAGGTGTTTTCCAGAGTAATACAAGGCCACTGTTGTCATGTTCATCAAACTGAACTCCATGCTTTGTAATTAATCTGATGAACTCACACTTCCGAAAACTGTTGCATGTCACAAGAACGAAATAGCTTCAGCCTGAAGTCACATATGAGCAAGGCAACAACCTGAGCTTCAAAATTTGCATTCTTTCAGTCTCTCCTCCCTTCTAGATGCTTGATAAAAAAATTGTTTTAGTGACAACTAAGCTACCAATGTTTTGTCATATCTTATGAAGCAATTGTGGCAGTGGAGTGCTGTTCCAAATTACTCCAAACTGTTCTAAAAGAGCATTGCTACACCATGCTGCTCCAAAATGTAATATTTGTTAGTAACTGCTTTGAACCTGCACCAAAATGGCATTGGGAAGCTTAGAACAATGAACTTTAACTGTGTGACCACTCAATGAGCCTAAACTAGCCCCCCCTGCTATAAAAAAAAAGCTGTATATGCTATCATCATAGTATGCTAGTATGCAGCTTGCTTACTGGCTGCATACTAGCATATTGACAATGCCGTAAGTACTGGCACTGTATATGTCTGATTTTAGTGCCTGGCAAGTAGACTATTTTGTATATATATGTGTGAGCTAAGTTTGATGTCATACTGATCACTAACTTCTACTGTGGCGCCTTTTATGCGTGACTGAATACATATACACTGCATTAGCTTTAACCTTATTTATGCCCCAAGAACTGGAATTTCTAGTGTGTAGCTCATTTTTTGAAATTTTTGATGCTGTATATTTTGGGGGATAATGAAAATACCATATTGCTTTGTCTTGTACCAATTATGAACTGCTACTGTGGTGATTGTTACATGTTATTTTGACTGCAATTTCAATTTGGTGCTCATCTTTATTTATGCATCATGTAAATAAATCTCGCTAATTTTCGTTTTTGTTCAATGGCCATTCATCTGTTTAATTATTTGTATCTTGCAGTTGATAGCTGTTATTTTGTGTGCAATATGTTTAAAAATAAATTTTAATATATATGAGATGCTTAAAGGGCCACTCACCAGGTTTGACAATTTTGAGCTGACAAGCTCAATGCGTAGATGAGGCGTTCGCGATCACATCTGCCAAAATTAGCAACGCTACGTGCCGCGGAAATGGGTCAAGTTTCAAGATGAACGCTGCTCCCCCTTCTTTTCGCGGGCGCGTGCCCAAAATATGACGGCATGATGTGCGCGTAAGAATGGCCCTACGTACATGGCAGTGCAGTGACATTGGTCGTCTGCGTAGACTGTGCTCCGACGTTGCCAACAGTGGCATGTGACATGGTAAAAGTTATTTAACAAGACATGCATAGTTTATGTGTTTGTCGCTCAAAGAAATTATTAAATCTCTAGATAAATAATGAGACCCAATAAGGAAATCTGAGAGCTATTTTTTCTTTATTTTTTTGTGAATTGCAACGAGTTGCTGGGCTAATGTGCCGGCGTTGCGCATGCGTTCGTGTCCCCGTGGTCAGCGCATTGAGAAGACGACAACCGTGGAACGCTCCTACGCGTTCGCACACTCATTGTGCTAATCTATTCTACCGCGTCTAAGCCAGCGTTTCCGAACCATCCCGTAGAAACAGGCAGTAGACCTCAAAACAACGCTTGTCAAAAAAAAAAAAAAAAAAAAAAATGCTTGCGTTGCACGGGGGTTGGGCTTGTTCGGGCACGTCATGCACACGCAATCTCTTGGTCGAATGCCGGAGAGGGTAGGGAAGAGATTTGGCTTGCGAAGGCTACGCGGAGGAGCGGCAAGGGTTTCGAGCTCACCTCCTCTCATCCTCGTTTCACGCCGCTTCAGAAAACAGTTTTATTAACTCGTAATGAACCTATGCAAAAAATTTTTGTAGCAAAATGTTCCTCATCAAACACCCAACAACTGTCACGGTCTAACAAAAATTTTGTATGGGGCCTGATGAGTGGCCCTTTAAATGATGCTTTAGTCTCCAGGAGTCATTAGGGATACATTTTTTTCATCTGCTCCGAAAGCACCAATAGCTGTTCCAAAGCCTAATTTTTCTGCTCCAAAATTTGTTCCAAAAAGCAAAATTTAACTTCCATCACTATAGTCACTGCTTTAGTGTAACGAAATTTCTTGTGTCTGTGTTGTTTCATCACATATGAAGCAATATTTTTTTTTCTGTGCAGGCGAGCAGCGAAAAGAGTGGCTGAGTCGATGGATGCTGTTGACAGCAAGAAGTTCCAGGAAAAGTTTGGCCATCAGTGGAATTATGCATTAGGGACATGAGAGAGCTAATAATGTTTTGTGTGATAGGCTTCCATGGTTGTCTCCTGTGAACTTGAATGAAGAATCCTGCTGCAGAGCACCTTATGAATTTCTAACACATTTAGTGCTGAGCATGACCTCAGCCCACACATGGGTGTTTGCCAAGGCAGTCTTGCTGAGCACACTGAGCTGAAATGCCTGGCTGGCTTTGTCCTAACATTAGACTGACATTTGAGAAAGCACTGCCTGGTTGATGGATTTTGTGCTTTGGAATACCTAGTAAGAAGCATGTAGCTTTGCTCATAAGCTAATGCACTACTGTGTCAATGCATTTGTTACTTTGAGCTCAGAATAGTTGATTCTCCATGCAGCAAGGACATGTCGCCATTTTTGTGTTGTGAATATGTTCTTCAGTTAAAGTTTTTCATGAGGCTTATTGTAGTCACTTTAAAAACTATTTGTATATCATTTGATCAAATTTGGTCTGCCTTCTCATTGGCATTTGTGTTTGACCACTATGACCTGTATAAAGGAGGGACTACAGAAATACTCATGGAAACATGTGTCGAAGAACAAGAGATACTTATATTTGGTAAAGTATGAATGAGCCGTCTCTCTCTTGTGCTGTGTGTCAATAAAAGCACGCTATACGTACATAAATGTCAATGATAACATGACAAAGCATTCAAGCATCAAATCACTATCATCTTCTTTATAGCCTTGTTGGTTTGGAATGCAATGGTTGGGTTTGTAGGAAAGTGAGTGACATCGAATCTCCTTTCCATAAGAGCATGAAAATAAAATGGTTTTCCAAGGTTATAGAATGTTTTGTCCTTGTCTTTTGATAAGCTGTTGTAAATCATAGTGTTAGCAAATATGTCTTTTGGTGATCAATTTTGTTTCATCAAATCACTATCATCTTCTTTATAGCCTTGTTGGTTTGGAATGCAATGGTTGGGTTTGTAGGAAAGTGAGTGACATCGAATCTCCTTTCCATAAGAGTATGAAAATAAAATGGTTTTCCAAGGTTATAGAATGTTTTGTCCTTGCCTTTTGATAAGCTGTTGTAAATCATAGTGTTAGCAAATATGTCTTTTGGTGATCAATTTTGTTTCATCATAGACTAGATAAAAAGTAAAGCTGGTTGCATACAATTTATATGCAGTGTGTAATACAAAAATGCTATCATGGACATATTTTTTTTCACTAATTTCAAAAACAGGTTAAAGCTGTATAATTGCTCGAGTTCTTAATAAGATGGAGGTAGCGAGATTGTCATTGGTTGCACTGTTGATAAATATGTTATCGTAGTTTGGGGGGAAAGTGAGTGTGTGAACGTTCAGCTGACTTGCTAGCATCATTGAAATTCCCAGAGTTACACGTTGAGGAATCTACTGTCGACTTTCATTTTGGCCGGGAGTAGTGGTATGTTTGCTATAGAGAAAATGCCACGCTTGAGTAGTCTCAAATGAGCAGGCTCTTAGCGTGACTAGGGTTAAGGCGCCAGGAGATCGGTCATTCACTCATTGCATCTCTTTTAACCAGTTGTAACTTCTCATTCGTCATCAAAATTCATCCTCAACCTTGCACTTCAAGTTAGTATAGTAACACATTAGCAATGGGTTTGCTGAACATTTTAGAGCTCCACAGTGTAACGAGAGCACTGCACTGCATTATTTCATGCATTGATTTGAACTTTTGAGTATAGCATATCTATTAGGCCCCCCTGTTCAGTTTCATTTTTCAAAATTTGGAGGATGAAATTTGGCTTTTATTTTCAGTTTTTAGTATTTTGGGGGAGAATCTTTTTTGAAAATTACTATTATTTTTTTTGTTATATCCTAGCTGGAGAAAAAAAAAATAAACATTGCAGGTTGTTTCACAAAGCATGGTACGTTTTTAGTAAAAGGTATGTGATTCTTTTTAATGGCACTTTTTCTCATTATCTTGAAGATTTTTTTCACGTACATCCCTATTTGCAAGAGTTCTATAGCCATGCTAGAATCATGCGGTGTTTGTATGTATAGCAGTTACTGTTCGGAATACACGACAGTGTCAAAGCAACGTTTGCTTCAGAAATAGGCCGGTGTGCAATGAAGGGCTATCTCTTATTGCTGAATTCTTTTCAGTGAGGTATATTTTTCGATAACAAATAGGTTTGAGCTGATTTTTAAAGAAATTTTGGGGTGCAGAAAAATAAAAATAGGCGAATTGGGTTTTACTTCAAAACGCTTGCGAAGGACCCTACATATCAGCCACATTGGGCATCAAAGAATTATATTTGTTAGTCTTATTGCTTACGATGTGGTCTTACTATGTGATGGCTGGAATATGGCATGGCTCCTGCTTGGTGTCATCACAGCGGCATTGTCAGGAAACAATGTCCAGCGACTCATACCTTGCACAATCACATGTTTTCTGTGTTTGATCATGCATTATTCTTGAGCGTCCTGCAACAGCAGCAAGCAGCGCCCATTGTTGATGTCAGTGCTTAAAATAAGCCTAGCTGATCGAATGGGGGAGGGGGTTATATCAATTGGAGCAAAAGTGAAGAAAGGAAAAGCAGCTGACAGGTTGTTTTACACACTAATTTATAGAAATATACAAAATAGTTTTTTATTTAGGTTTTATCTCATTTTTTGATGCAGACTTGAAACAAGCAATTCCCAGTTGTCGCCAGTGTGATCTACAGTATTTGACATAAAACAGCTCGCAATAAAATGAAATGTTGGCTCATGTAATGCATGTAGTAGTATTTGTTATACCACTAATTTATAGTAATTTTGACATTGAGTACAATGGCAGCATTTCTTAGCACTGTCTACAGCATCATACGACACAGGTCTTGTAAAATTTGGAAAATGCATATAAGATGTTTGCAAAGGATGTGCTTTATGTGAAATACTATAATATATTAATTAGCCTGGACAGACTTGTATTACATTGTCTGTGGTGCACATGGCTGTGTGTACATTAATTGAAATTTGTTTTGCCAACACACAACCCTACAATCTAGCAAGGGGGTTTCCAAATTCATTTTCCTTCAGCACTGGCTTAAGCCAAGGAAAGCTATGACCCTTTCCTTGTTTTTTTTGTCTATTAGTTTTAATTAATGTTGTGCTTAACAAAAAAAAAACGAGCCAGTAAATTTAAATTTCCTGCCTATTAGAATTGTACCTAATTGAAGAGGATGAAGTTGCATATGTGGAATATTTATGTTCAAGCATAGCTTTTCTTCATACTTTCCATGTGGGCCCCATACACTGAAAAAAAAGGGGGGGGGGGAGTGAAAGAAAGAGGTGACATGCAGTGGCACTTACCCGGCCCCTCCGGTTATGAGCTATTCATTCTCGGGAGAAGCAGATCGAAGTAGCGGGTTAGTTCCTTTACCCTCACCAAGCTGTCGTGTGGCATGCAGCCGCGACACCAGGACTGTCAGTCAGCTGGCCAGCCTTTTACTGCAGGCTGTTATTGCAACTGCCCCACGTTATTAAGTGTCAACTACTGCAGCCACATGTTTAAGCGGCAGTACAGGTTGTGCGTTGGTATTTTACGTCTGAGTGCATTCAGTACGTGTGCTTATGCGAGACACACAGTTGCTCATGCAAGTCGCACTCTCTTGCAATGCTGCCGTACCGTGGGCATCCACAACCGCAGCTATCAACATCAGCATTGAATACTATGACTGCCCGCTTTGATAGACGCTCGTGCTACCAAATTGCCGTTCAAGCCACGGCACGCGAGGCTCACGTGCATGCCTCACGTGCTTGCCTCACGCCATGGCAGACATACTCATCGACAGTAAAAATGACCTTCTTAACAAGAAAATAGAGCACCACATCTACCTAGCGGAGACGCTGGACGCTGTTGTAGCAATTTACCCAATAGTCAGGTGAGCGGGTGCAGTTTCGTTCGTCTGTATGATTGCTTCAGCTTGCTTTCCCTGCTTTTGTGGCGGATGTCTGCGAGGATGGCATGTTCCTGTAGTGTCTTGTGTGTCCTCGTTTTTTCGTGGTCTCTTGTAGATTCCAGAAAAGTATGAAGGTAGGATTTGAACTTGCGACTGTAGGAAAGCTAGGAAGTCAAGTGAGTGAGAAAACATTTTGTGGCGGCATGGAAGCGTGTTTATTCCGCTCGCCTGCAAGCCTCGGACACACTCCTGCATTCCACCAGAGAACGAAAAACCATCCGCGATTACTACAGTTGATTTGAATTCCCGCGCGTTTGGCTGGCAGAACGCGCGAATAAATTTATCACCAGTAGAGATCAATAAAACGTTACGTAAAAATACAACCGCAAAGCGATTTTTTTTTTGCTGATGTGGACACTTAACAGCTACGTATTAAATATTTACTAAGTAATTACTCTGGCTCACGCTTGGCGCGCTGAGCGCGTTATCGGTTTGCAGTGTCGTCTGTGTCGTGGTGTGGGACGTCCGGCCGCGACGTGTTGTCGGCCCCCTGAGCCCGTTTAGTAGTGGAGTTTGCTTTCCTAACGTGACCAAATGATCGAGAGCAAAGCAGAGGCAACTTCAGACTCGTGCACGACAGGTCGACTTGAACATGAGCACTTGCTTTTTGAGTTGGAAACAAGCGACTCGAGCAGCGTCGGTCTGGTTCTCAGGTAGACTTCATGTCACTGTATGACACCAATACCGCGTTACTACTCGGCAGTGCTTGGAAACTATTCTCGCACTATTTATTACGATTCTTATTAGAAGTCGTCATACATGTCTGTGCTACACCTTGGCAGTCTGTAAATTAAATCTCGCTAAGTGTTACACCTTGTGCTCCAGTGTCTTGCTCGTACAAATGTCGAGGCTGAAACCTGTAGAAATATTGTCGAGGCATCTCACTGCTTCTCAACATACTGTGCACGACACATTGCGGATGTAATTGTTATTGCGTTTTGCGGCCGGTAGTCGCTGATGAACATGTCTGACGTGAAGGGGGTGTGTTCGGTATATACGTGCGAAGCTTCGAACACGTCCGCTATACCTCGATTCCTCACTTTTCGCTCTGACCTCTTGCACAGGGCTATTTATGACGGAGACGAACATGAAAGGTTTCTCGAAAAATTGGACGCTCGCATCAACGATCATGACAGAGAGATTGAAAAGATGTGCAACTTCCACTACCAGGGCTTCATTGACTGCATCAGAGAGCTTTTGCACGTACGGAGCAAAGCACAAAAGCTGAAAGTGAGTGTTGCGTTGTGTGTTGTACCAGAGTATGTGTACATAAAGCTCGCCACAGTGCTCTCAGACTTGCTTTGCGAGTCTAAATTAAACACCTCCCTTGATTTTTGATGGTATTGGGTTATTTTCTAATATAATGAAAAAGTGCATGCCTTAACGTAGCCACTCTATTGCCACCTAGCAATGATTTTTGCTCATAAACTGCTTGCGATATCGTAGAACTTCTTGCAGTGTTGGTGTGAAGTAGACATTCATGCAAATGTGTCGTCACGTTCACTTAGCAGCACTAGGAATTATCACTGGCATTGTACACATTTCGCTGATGGCACACTTGTCAGTGATAAGTTTATTCACTTTTACTTGATCACTTCTGAGGGCTCTAAAGTTCGGAGTTTTCTGTACAAGCCCTATTTATTACTAGTGTCTTCTGAATTTTACGGTAAAAACCCTGTAAATAATCAATAAATGCTTCTACAAATCACTTTTCCTTGGGTTGTTTGAAAAGATGACCACAGTTGGTAATCAATAAAAACTATCACTAGGCGGCAGTGACAGTGGCTTGTTAAAACTACAAAATGCAGCGCTCATACGAAGCTACCTCTTGCACAAGCATTGTAACTCAGTGAATTGCTAAGGCAGAAGCCTTGTTTGTGTCATGACATTTTGTAAGGTTCGGCAAGACCTGACAATACTTCATAAGACCTGCAGGGGCACTGGGAGACCTGATGATGCTTCTCGAGAATTCATAAATGTAAAGAAAGTGGCAGGCCTGCACAGGACGTGCAGCGCAGTCCCATCGTGAGCGGCCTTCATAGAGCCCTTTGTATACTCTCTTAGGAAAACAAGTGAAGTTGCTAGGTACCCACTGTGCCATAAATCATTTTGCAAAGTAATGAGGTAAGCATCTGTAAGGAAACATAGCACCTATGTAGCCTCACACTTTGTTGATACAGGCTGGTGATGCATTATGGGTGAGCGCTTCGTGATGGGTGGGAAGCTTCAAACCAGGCACACGTTATGCAATAAACATTTTGTGATGTGCCTATAGTGGGATATATCTCTTCTTGCGCAAGATTACATCAGTTCCTTGCCTGACGTGACGCCTCTTTAGGGTTTTCTTGTGAAGAAGTTTGAACACTGGTCTAGCTCTGTTGTAGATTACTCAACTGCCATGCTACGCATATTTCCTGGCCAATATTCCCACTTGAACCCTGTTTTTTTTTCTCATTTTGCGAAATAGCAGTGATGGCCAACAACTGCATCATCAAAATCAGCTGTTGTAAGAGCATAGCAGCCTATGCTCTAATAAAAGTCTCACAGTTTGAAGGAAGTAGGTTAAGAAGTAGTATGCTAGCTATTATTAAAATTGGCACAGACACTAATAACAAGCATGCTGCAAGTATAGGGTTGGAAATAAAGCTAACGAGACAGCTTCATGCAAACATAGTGGTTTTAACTAAAAATATGACAAAAGGTTTTGGGACGAACACTGAGATTGCTTAAAGCTGGAATTGTGAAAAATCTAATCTACAGATCCATGTGCAACTTTTTTTTTTATTATTACAGAACGAAGTAACCCGAACAGACCAGGAGCTGCAAGAAACTGCAAAGCGTATGTTACAAAGGGCTGATGAATTAGTCAAGTATGGTCACATTCAAAGTAACATAGCCTGGACGATTGGAAGCCTAAGTGTGTGTCTTCCTGTACTTGATGTTTATGCTAAATTAATGCAACAGATGAAAGAACGCCGGTATTACCCAGCACTTAAGACTATTGAACAGTTGGAGCACACATATTTGCCGCGAGTGTCTCAGCATCGGTTTGCCCAGTCCATGGCAGTCTGTATACCAAAGCTGCGTGACCGTATCAAGGAAGCATCCTTGTCAGAGCTGAAAGATTTCCTTGAGAATATTCGCAAGCATTCAGGACGCATTGGGGAGGTGGCATTGAACCAGGGCTGCAAGCAAGAACAGACCTTGGACGAAGACATGAGCGCACAAGACTTGGTGGATTTCTCACCAGTGTACCGCTGCCACCACATCTACAGTGTGCTGGGATCACGGGAAACGTTTGAAGCTTACTACCGACAACAACGAAAGCACCAGGCTCGGCTTGCCTTACAACCGCAAATGAACATGGTATGAAATTTTTGACCAGGGGTTGTGCCAACTTTGTTCACAACTGCTGTAGGTTTGTCTTCTGGTGCTGAATGATGTCTTGTGGGTTACCTTATGCCAAATGTCTTAGCTATTATGGTGGCCATCTGAAATGCATGTAGAAAAAAAAATCGTGTGGATTTATTGCATTGAAAGCAATTAATTGCTAAACTATTTTGAAAAGAAGAAATTTTTTGCTAATGTGGGTACCTTTCGAATTTTCTATAATGTCGTCTTGGTGTTTTATGAAAAAATTTATTCTAAGAGTTTTGTTTCTTGTTTCAATACCAAATTTGGTTTATATATTAAGCAGAGATGTTTGTATAAGGTGTTTGAAGATCAATAAGATTAGTGCCATTTCTCTATCATGTATGCTTCCAGAAATTTAGCCAAAATGTTTCATGTTTGCATTTCTTTCATTGTAATATTGCACCTTGTATAATGAATACACTTGCTCTGCCGGAGCTATATATTTGCAAAAAAATATTTTCAGAGCCCTCAAGTTTCTAATCTTTATGAGTAAAAATCACCTGTTTAAGAAAATTGTAATTTTTGATAATATTAAGATGCAATTTATACCATGTGGGGCTACAATTAAAAAGTAGCTATATACCCTAATTGCAAACCAATAAACTTTCTTTTATGATAAGTTTTACCATGTCATTTTTAGTTTCAAGGATAGAAATAATTTTGTAAGTTTCCTATTGATGGCAATGGGGAGCTTCAACGAGGAAGCTGCCTAATGACCAAATGGGAAGATAGCTGTTGATCGAAATGGTCAAAAATTTTTTTTCCTTAAAACGAAAATTGTAATCATGAAACTTTCCTTATATAGATGGTTCACTTGCTTTCAATTAAAGGGTCCTTCTAACACTATTGAAGCACCAATTTTTATTTGTGGTTTGTGTAGGCCAATAGATGGAGATGGCTGGAGATAATTTTAGCATAGGTCAAAGTGCCTATATGAAATGACTTAGAATTTTAATCACGCAATAATGTCGATGCATTGCTGCCGATTGCACCAGCACGTAGTGGCACTTGCCAAAACTTAGTGGGCGGAAATGACGCTGGAAGGTTGCCGCCTTATGATTGGATAAATGTAACGTTAGAAGCGATCGTGGTGTGGGATCAAAACTGGGTTTACTAGTCTGTTTCATTTTTCTTTGTGTTTTTTCATCGAACTCTGAACAGACAGACGCTGCCACATAAAAAAAAGATTGCGACTACAAAGCATGACAGAGATGCAGGCTGCTATTTCGCCACTGGATTTTTGGCTTGCATGGGTCAGATGTCCATACGAAAGACCTCTCTCTCTCTTTCTTCCCTCTTCTTGGTTTTGGGAGTTGGTGAGCAGTCTCTCCGCACGTGTACTGTTGAAGGGGTGCAGTGGACCGTTGTTGTTCGTCGAGCGGCTCACCGAACAATGCCCGAAGCGTCAACAGTACGTCACTATCCTGGTCGTTCCACAAGTTTCTTTCTCGAAATATTAGGAGGGAGTGACTTAGAATGTTGCAAAAAACAGCAAATACTTCCCTTCCACACAGCAGGTCCCGCTCACGTTCTGGCAAGCCAGGCACCATGTTGGTTACTGTGGCAACAAGGTCAACGTCACCTTGAGAGAGAGATATAAACATTTATTTAGAAGCAGTGTACCGAGCTAGGCCCGGTCTCACCCTAAGGTGGCAGGTTTCCCTAGTCCAGGAACCCTCTGGCTTCGACTGCCCTCTTGGCCCTGGCGACTAGTCCAGGAACCCTCTGGCTTCGACTGCCCTATTGGCCCTGGCGACTAGTTGTTGCTGGTCTTCCAGGTCCTCGAGGACGAGCTTGGCCTTTCACGTTTCCATTAGGTGGTCATTTTTTCTTGGGCTTAGTTCCACTCCAGTAGCACGTCGTGATTTGCATGGCACTGGCATTCCAGGAGCAAGTGTGCCTGGGTGTCCGGTACGCTACAGAGCGGGCACATGTAGCCATGTGACGTTGTGTAGAGGCGGAGCATTAACATGCCATGTATGCAAGTGTTGCTTTGCAGGCGTTTGAAAATTAGCTCTCTTCTTTGGTTAGTATTGGATGGGGTGAAGGGTACACCCGTCGCTCCAGTTTGTAGCGTTGAAGTAGCGACGAGTAGGTGTTTTCTACTACGTCCATCTCTGCAGCCACGGATTAAGTATCCTTTGGTCCCAGGGCAGCCCGGCTGACATGCTCACGGGCAGCGGCGTGGGCCGCTTCATTTCCCTGTAGACCCTCGTGTCCAGGAACCCAGATTATGCAGGTATATGGAAGTGGAGAGCTTCGGCGTTGCAGGATGTTAATTGCGTTGGCTGAGACGCGGCCCTTCGCATAATTCCGGCAAGCGGCTTCTGAGTCGGTGAAGATCACTGCGGCGTCTTTACATGTGGTGGTGGCAAGAGCGATTGCCACTTCTTCTGCTGCTTCTGAGTTGCGTGCCTTGACTGTGGCCGACGCTAACTCTCAGCCTTGAGAGTCTACGACGCTGATGGCATACGAGTTTCTACGGGGGTACTTGGCCGCGTCAGTATAGCGGACGTTCGGGTCTTGCCTGAACTTTCGTTGTGCTTCTACTCTAGCCTTTCGTCTACCTTTTTGGAATGTGGCGTGCACGTTGCATGAGATAGGCGCGATGGACAGGGACTCTCGAACGTCCATCGGGATGCGCTTTTTCCGGTCTGCATCCGCAATGTATGATTCGCTGTAGTTGAGATACGGCAGTACGGACTTCTCGGTCGGCGTGAGCTTGAGTCGTTCCAGCTGGCTGTTCTTGTGAGCCTCCGCGATCTCTCGTCACTTGTTGTGGACACCCATGTGTAGAAGTTGTGAAGTAGAAGCCATGGGTGGTAGTCTCAAGGTGGCTTTGGTTGCCTTTCTTATCATAAGATTAAGTTTTTTTTAGTTCTGCGGTTTTTAAACTGAGGCATGGCGTGCCGTACATGATGTGGCTGGGGAGCAGAGCTTGCATTATTCGTAGGGTGTCGTGTTCTTTAAGCCCATTGCGTTGGTTTGCGATCCTCTTGATGAGGTGCGTGAGATGCGAGAGAGTTATTTGGAGTCTCGGTATGGTGGCCGCTCGCGATCCATCTTTGTGTGTGTGAAGTCCGAGCACCCATAGCGTATCAAATTTCGGAATAATTGTCCCGTTGAGGGTGACACAAGGGTCGGGCTCTTCGTATATGGGAGGCCTGCCTCTTGTCCTTGCTTTGAGTACAAGGTGCTCAGACTTTTTGGTGGCACAGTTGAGGCCACAGTGTCAGAGATACTTTTCAATGGTGTTTACAGCATCTTGTAAGCAACTCTCTTGTCTCCCAATGCTCGAAGACTGGAGCCAGAGCGTGATGTCATCAGCATACATCGTGTGCCGCACATCTGGTATTTTATCGAGAACCTTGGGCAGATTGAACATGGCCACGTTGAACAGTAGCGATGACATGACCGAACCCCGTGGCGTGCCTCTTTTAGGTAGTTGGAAACTTTTGCTGTGGATGTTCCAGATGCCCACAGTTGCTGTACTGTCTGTCGGAAAGTTTCGGACATACATGTAGGTCCTAACGCCGCAGCTGGTTCCTTAAAGGTTCGTGAGGATCCCGTCATGAATTACGTTGTCGAAGGCCCCCTTGACCTCGACTCCGGGTATTGAGTATTTGGTTCGGTGACTGAGGTGATCAAGAAAGTATTCTATAAGTAGTAGAAGCACGTCGTGCGTTGAGAGGTGCTGTCTGAAGCCGAACATCATATCTGGTAGGTGCCCATTATCTTCTAGGTACAGGGTCAAGCAGTTATGTACAATATGCTCAAATAGCTTTCCCACACACGAGGTGAAAGAAATTGGGCCCAAGTTTTGAATGCTGATAGGTTTTGTTTGGCTTGGGGATCACGGTGATCTCAGTGTTTCCCAACCGCAGGCAGCTCTCCTTTCTCCCAGCAACCGTTGTAATATTGGAGAAGAGCTGTGGTGGCCTGGTGTGGTAAGTTGCGCAAGTATTTGTTGACGATTCGGTCTTTTCCGGGGCTGGTATTTCTTGTCAACTTCGATAGGGCAGCATTAAGCTCCGCTTGCGTGAAGGGCCAGTCGAGGTCAGAGTTTGGTGTTCTCGCATATTCCTTGGTGTTAAATGTCGCGACAGCGGGCGCGTCTCCGCAAAGCTTTTTCACTAATTCTTGAAGGAGATGCTCTTCCGATCCGGCGTAGTTGTGAATAAGCTTGTGAAGATGCTGCTTCTGTGCCGCTTTGGAGGGTTGCGTGCCCATAAGAAAGCGTAGCAGGTGCCAGGTTTTCTTGGTGCTAAGAGTTCTCCGTCGCTTGTCGCAAAAGGCGTGCCAGTTCTGCCTGGCCAGTTGGTTGGCATAATCTTGACTTTGCTTGGTGAGGAGAGCGATGCATCGCTGAAGCTTCCTGTTAAGCTTTTGCCGCTTCAACCTCTTGAGAAGTCCTCTCCTAGCCTCCCAGAAGTGGAGAAGAGGAGCGTCGACTACGGGCATATCGCTGTTGAGCTGTACGTTTTTAGTGTGTCGTTCAGATGTGTCTAGGACATTCTTGAACCACTCTTCGATGTCGGTTATAGTGGTTTCAGCAGCGAGGTCATCCCTGTAGAAATTCCATGCCGTTGAGCGTGCTATTCCTGTCTTGGTCTGGCGACGAGTGTGCGCTACGTCAGGTTGGAGGATATGGTGGTCGCTGTCTAAGGTTTATGGTAGCACACTCCACTCTGCCCGGGTGACGTTCGCCATGAAGGTGAGATCAGAATTGGTGTCCCTGGAGACGCTGTTCCCGATTCTCGTCTTCTGGAGAGGGTTGTTCCACAATGTTAGTTCGTGGTGCTGAGCGACATCATGCACCCTAGAGTCTTTCTTCATGGTGATATGATGACCCCATGCGGTGTGTGAGGCATGGAAGTCTCCCACTATGACGATTTGGTGGCCTTTTGTGCACTTCCTGAGTTCTCGTATGAAGTGACCAAAATCTGGTAGTTTGTCTCGAGGAGGGGCTGTACACGTTGGCTATGAATAGGCTTTTCTGCGTTTTTCATTCTGGCAGAAGCTCTATGAGGGTGTGCTCTGTCTATGTTTGCTTGACGTCATGCTTTTGCGCTGAGAGTTTTCTTGACAAGTATGGCATTGCGTTGGGTTTGTGCGCAAGTCATGTATCCTTGCAGACGGACGTCCTGGGTGTTGGTTTCCTGGAGTGCGATGATGTGGGGTTGGTTGAAGGCTCGTATGTCATGGACGGTACGATCTACAGTTTCATTGCCATATGCTTAAAGTTGATTGCTGTTTTTTTAACTCATGGTAGCTACTCGCGTTGATTGATTCGACTTCACGTTGGTGATCGCAAGTGGGTGAGACTGAGCGAGAGGTATTGTGGCTGTTCGCCCGCGCCTTCTTTCGATAGTGCTGGCGTGGGTTGCTGAAGGTCTCTAGCTGTGCCACGGTGACAAAAGTTTTTTTCTCGTGTGCAACAAAAATGTCGAATTGTGCAGCGATCTCGTCAATCTTGGCATTTAACGTGGTAATTTTGTGTTCGAAGGTTGCGGTGGTTTTTTCGATTGCTGATTGGACAGTCTTTTCCATCTTGGCATGGATGTTTGTCATAAAAGCTTCCTGCAATATCGTGCACCTGGCATCCACAAGAGCTTGAACATCTACCTTTGGCAGCATCTTGCCCGGCTGCGAGCTTGTGTCTTCTACCACTTGGCATTGTTGTTCCGCATTTTCAAGAATTTTTTCGCTGCTCCTAGCATTTTTGAAGTAGTTTGTCTATGAGCATTTGTTGTCTTTTCTGACTGAAGCAGCTTGTCAATAAGGCTTTGTTTTGCAATTGGCTGTGCTGATTCTGGAGCTTCCTCTGCTGGTCTTGCAGTCTATCTTCGAGGGCCTGTATGGATGCGGTTTCCGGCGATATAGAGGTCGAGCTGCTGCTACCACTCGAGTCGCTTACCACGGCGGCGTAGCTGATTCATTGGGCTGATGGCGAGCGCGTGCGAGAGCGGGAGCGTGAAATAGATAGCAAGATGAACTTGGATTTGCTGCGCCTAGTGAAGCTGGTTCTGCTCCTACTGCTTGATCTAGCTACAGAGGTGCCAAGCTCGGGGAACTCTTCTTCAATGAAGTTCCAGTGGTTTATTTCCTGTATCCTGTTGAGGCGCTGTTGTCTAATATTTTAGGGTGGTGGATTTGGCGTTAGTCTCCGCTTGCACTCTTTACTTGCAGTTTCGTGCCCTTCTCCGCACATCTTGCACATGGGTTTGCACTCATGTCCCTGCATTTGTCCGGTGTTGCCATATTTGTAGCAGAAATCTGGGATAGGCCTTGGACAGATGTCTTGACGGTGACCAGTGTTGCCACAGGTTCGGCAGTATTGAATGGACTTGCGATATGGTCTGCATCGGAAGTCTACGCACTGGAATATTTTGTAGAAGGGAACATGCAGTCCTTTGAAGAATGCAACTGCCGCGGACGATTGACCCAGCATTCGGGCGTGAAGAACGGTGTATTTTGCCGGTGCGCGGATTCCAGCCATGAGTTCTGCGGTGCTTGTTCCAGGTATTAAGCCATTGATGACGCCTCTGGAGACGTCGTCCGGAGTGCGTATGTTGCTGTTCACATTGTAGAAATTGCCTCCAAACTGTATTTTCTTAATGCTTACTAGCTTCTTTGCGTCTTCATTGGCGGCAGTGCTGGCAATAATTAAGTTTTCCATTCTTTGGACCTGTACATGTACCTTGTCATTAAAGTCTTGCTGCGATAGTCCACTCGCTCTTCCGATGGCATGTGTGACGATGACGGTGTTCCATTTGGCGAGGTTGAGACCTGCTTGCGGGCGGTAGACGATTTTAAAACCATCGAGCGGCAGAGGTGGCATCTTGGGCCTGCGTTGTTGCTGTGATGGTGATGACTTTAGCATCTGCTCTGTGATAGGTGGCTGCCCTGTGGGTTGCTTGGCCGGTGTCCTCGGATTGGCGGCAGCCTTTTTGTTTTTCTTATTTCTCGTAATCCAAGCACTTTCCGTTTCAATAGTTCTGCCACTGCTAGCGTTATAGGTCCACAAATTTTCTGTTGTTTTGTTTGCCTTCACTGGGTCAGTTTGCATTGCATTTTCTTCGTCTTGCTGGTTTCTTTGCATTTCGCTTGCTGCGGCTGCATCTCTGCTCATTCTAAGAGCTCTTCGCCACAACGAGCGCGAGTGCTCACGCCGTGCCATCAGGTACGCCTGAGCGCATAGTGTACGCGCCGCGCGGCTTTATTCGTGAGCGAAGTTGGCGTTAGGCTTAACAAACTGGACGTGCGCTTGTCGGGAATTGAGTCTTATATCATGAGACAGGATGCGCTCACACAAAAGGTGCTAGTGTCCGCCGATTCCTCGTGTCTTGGCAGTTGAGGCTGTGAAACTCTTGGGTTTGTCACTGGCCTTGTTCCGGGTTGGAAAGCACGGGAAGCAGGAGCCCATGTGAGACGCGTCTGGTCTATACGGCCCCCTAGCAGTGGATAACGTCACCTTGAAGAAAAAAAAGCAACAATGGGGTGAGAGTTTCCCCTACGTAGGCACTTCCAGCTCATTTCATTGGGGCAGCGCTCCGACGTCACGGGCGAGTGAAATGTAGTCAGGTGACCCCACAAAAATTGAGTTGAGGGTCGGCATTTTTGTCTTGTATTTTGAATTTTCCAAGTCGAATAACTTCAGACTGCGTGCAGTTATTACTGTTGTTTTGGCTGCATTAGTTTGTCTGTACTGCCCCGCGGCGATGGTCTAGTGGCTAAGGTACTTGTCTGCTGGCCCGCAGGTCACGGGATCGAATCTCGGCTGCGGCGGCTGCACTTCTGATAGAGGTGAAAATGCTGTAGGCCCGTGTGCTCAGATTTGGGTGCACGTTAAAGAGCCCCCAGGTGATCGAAATCTCTGAAGCCCGCCACTACGGCGTCTCTCGTAATCATATGGTAGTTTTGGGACATTAAACCCTGCGTATCGATCTGTCTGTACTTCAGTCTACACGACCCACGAATAAAACCTGGGGGGTTGAATTGTGTTAGAGGGCCCCTTTAAGGTATAAATTAAAATTTTTTTATTGGTGCACCATGAGATGTAAATTGCATTTCAATATGGACAAAAATAACTATTTTCTGAAATTAGCAATTTTTTATTTTGTTGTAAAGTTTAGAAACTTGGTTGGTACAGGGTGAAAGTACAAAAGACGAAGACAGAGAAGAGGCTTGACACACACAAGCACCAACCTTTGGCCAAAAGAGTTTTTGCCTTGCACACACTGGGCACTTGAGGTAGTCAAACTTCATGTTGCAGTATGGCATTTTTACTTGTATATGCTGCATCATTTTCAAGTTAGAAAGTGTATTTATCTGGTAGGTTTTAGTGATGACTCAGTCTTGTTAATCGCTGGCAGTACTTTTTCGGCATTTTGTATGTGTGGGTTCTAATACATTCATGATTTTCAGCACGAGACAAGTGATGGATATCGTAAATACTTTGCAGAAATTGTTGGGTAAGTAGTGTACTCACAGGAGTATCTCAGTAGGAATAATTGCAGAAGCAGTTATTATTTTATTACACTGTATCAGGTAGTGTCATTGATGCATCATGTTTATGTTCTCAGGTTCTTTGTGGTTGAGGACCACATTTTGAACACAGCAAGTGGCCTTGTGAATCAGGCATACCTGGACCAAGTCTGGGAGAATGCCTTGTTAAAGATAACAGCAGCATTAAGGACACACACTGTAAGTAGCATGCTAAGAATATGTATACTTTTTTGAGTGTGCAGACAGTTTGAATGGGATCTGGTCAATTCTAGGCCTACTGCACAGAAGCCAGCCTGATGCTTGATGTTAAGAAACTTATTCTCCTGTTCAGCGAAACACTACGGGTAAGGTGTTTCGTCAGCAGCCTTTAACTCTGTAAACTAGTGCTTTAGACTCGAAAACACCCCTTACGCCTTTTTTTCTTCTTTTGCAGAGCTACGGATATCACGTGGACCCAGTGCACAACTTGTTACTTGAGATACAGGAGCATTACAATGAGATTCTCATGAAGCATTGTGTTCAGACCTTTCGCAGGATTTTTGATGATGACTCTTACCACCCTATTGAAGTTGCAACACAAGAGGAGTACCAGAAAGTTGTGGCTATTTTCCCATTTCGAGATGAGGTATTGGAAAAGGTATGTGAAGTTTTTGTGGCAAGTGCCTGGAGAGTGCCTGTATTGTTCCTACATTTCAGGCACCATTTCCAAAAAAGTTTCCATTTTCACGGTTTGTGCCTGGCATCTTTGATGAAGTCAAAGGCTTTATCCGTGAATGCCTCAAGTTTTCTGAAGACCTCAATGTCAGGTGTGTGCTAGGAATAAAAGAACGCTATAACAGGCATGACTATTTGTGGTCCTTTGGTGTTATACTTTGCAGTCAAACTGAAGTTGAGGACATGGTACGGAAAGCTACCAACCTGCTGCTGACCCGAACACTAGGAGGTTGCCTCTCATCACTCATCAAAAAACCAAATGTTGGTCTTCTGCAGGTGTGTGCAAAAGCCAAATTTAGTTGCATTGATTGAAGAGTATAATCGGTTTTGTCTTCTTGTTTAGCTAATACAAATCACGATAAATACAAACTACCTTGAAGATGCTAGTGTGTACCTGGAGCAGTTCATCTCCTCTATTTTCAAGTGAGTATCGCCCTGGAAATGCATCTGCATGCTCGTGTGTGGTGCTCAAGGCAACTCGTTTTTTACAGCCGGTGGTGTGGTGACAGTCATCATGTGGCTAAACTTCAAGGGCGGACAATGTTCAAGGTGAGAGGGAGGGTATGTTGGTGCCCAGTGACAATGTGCGCTGAAATATAATGCAGGATGCCCGAAAAGATGCTGAGGACCAAATTTATGAACAGCTGAAAGCCAAGATAGGAGAGTTTTTGGAACTTGGTGAGTTGAAACGTAGTGATGGTGTAGGAGAAATAACCAATCTATGTTTTGTTCTCCTGCTCAGCCCATTATGACTGGCTTCTGGTTGAACCCGAAGGCCAAGCCAGCAATTACATGATGGATCTGATTGCATTCTTGAACAATGTATTTCAAGCATTCACAAATTTGCCGGTATGTATTTTATAAAGGTGTGCTTCACTGATTTTAAACTTGTAGATTAAAGAAAAGTACTGCTGAAAATTTTACTGTGCTATCACAGTGCATTGCATGTGCAAAAGGTTTTATTCAAAATTCTACACAATTGTATTACATTAGCCAGGAAATTTTACTTCTGTGTATGTGATGCGTGTATGCGTGGGGGAACAGCTTTGATGTATATAATGAGAGGAAGGTGAGGATGGAATTGTGTGTGTATGCATGTGTACTCTCGAGTGTTCGCTGGCTGGGCGCCTCTCAAGAACATCCAGAATTGTGTGCTCGAGACGCCGCTGTGAAACGCCAATGACGAGCTGAGATCCCTGTTTGTTTTGTTCACTTCATAGTATTTTTTAACCATGCACACTAGGTACTAGAGCTGGGAAACGCATACTGCGTTTCTCGCAAAAGAAAAATGCCATGTGCAGCAAATGGTGCTATTAACTGCACGGTGTAAGAAAAAAAGAAAAGAAAACATTATTCTTCTAACGCTGGTTTCTCACATGCGAAATGCCATTATGGATGCTACGCAATGCATTCGCATTTTCTCACGATTCGCTTCGGGGAGGTGGGGGACTTTTTTTTCTTATATTTTGAATTTTCTGAACCAAATGCCAAATGGTCTCCAACTGTGTGTCGCTGTCACTCCCTTCTTGCTGCAATAATGTCAATACTTGAGTCTACGCAACCCATAAGTAAGAAAATGGGGAGCTGAATAGTTTTGGAGGGCCCATTGAAAGAACCCCAGATGGTTGAAATTTCTGGCACTCTGTGTCATCTCTCGCGATATGGTTTTTTGCACGTAAAACTCTGGATATTATTTATTGTGATGTTGACTGAACAAGATGTGAAGAACATATCCACCTGTCACAGGAGCTGGTGAAAGTACACATGAACTGGTCAGAAGCTGAGGTAAAAAAGAGGTGTTTAGAGTATTGGTGGAAGAGCAGCAAGAAAAGGACCGATACAACTGGCAAGTCTAGGTAACTGTAATGGAAGCGTGAACGAGTATGGGAACTTTAATGTCACTTTCATCTTTGAAGGCTATGTTCTACACAGATACCATGGCCTCCCGGGATTGTCTTCATGAGCCTGGTTGCAATTGAGATTCTCAGAAAATTGTTTGTTTTGACTGGGCCTTCTTCTCCATAACTTTGAGTCCCATAAGCCTCTTCCTGGCTATGCCTCTACTGCTGTGTCATGTATAGATCGATTTGTGCACGTCAGTGTGACTTTGTATTGAGCCATTATGATCGAGTATGTTTGATTCCCAGCAGCGGCTTAGCTAGAAATTTTTGGGGGGATGGGGGACACCTTTTTGATTTCGGGAGGGGCACCCCCTTGAAACGGTCATTTTTCGCTTTTTATGCTATGGGGAAAAAATTTAGAAGAGGTGCGGGGGGCTTGGTCTTGGTGCACCACTGGCTTGGTGTGCACGGGCTTGGTGCGCCACTCACTGGCTACGCCCCTGATGCCCAGCTATTGCACAGAGCAGTCTATGGCATTATTACTGTGCTCAAAGTTGCGAATATGGCTGAAAGGCTAAGTTCCTATGGGAATGAAATACGAAAACAAGCCTGTGTAGGACATAGCCCCGGATAATTGAAATGACATCCACTGCAGTCCAGTTGCAGCTACAAAATTAAATGAGTAATGTTCGAGTGAGATTTCCTTGTGTGAAATTTTGCTTGTATACACGCAGGACAAAGTGGCTCAAACAGCTTGCATGACTGCCTGCCAGCACCTTGCTACATCTCTATTGAACATCCTCACCTCAGAGGACGTCAAGTTCATTTCCATTGGTGCTTTGCAGCAGTTCAACTTGGACGTCATCCAGTGTGAACGTGGGTAACTGACAACAGTGTTGGAGTAGAACTCGGACAAACAGTTTTCTCCCATATGTTTGCAGAGTTTGCAAGCTCGGAACCAGTAAAAGGCTTCAAGGAGGGTGTGCTGCAGATGTTCTTCGTAGAACTGCGTCAGGTACGCCAGGAAAAAGTTGTTCTGAGCTTTTCTTTTGTTTACTGAAAATGTTTTGCTTCTGCATAGTTTTGTGAATTAACAGAAATGCTGCAGTAATCATTGGTAAGATGATTATAGTATTTTTGCCAAAACAGATTTGCTGTTCAAGCTGTGCTGTCTTTCTGGTGACTTCAGACAGAGAGAGAGAGAGACAGGAACTTAAAAAAGAGAGTCCAAGCCAGCTGCTCAACATAGCCTCCAAACCTGTGCACAAAACCACTGTTGAGAGAGAGGGGAAGAAAGTACTGTGTCAACTTCTAAGGATATGGTTCTGCAGAAACTCGAGTGATCTCGAGATACTGAAATGTTAGTGAAATATGAGTCATGGCACTTCAAAACATTCTTTACTGCATGGGGATAGTGAATGAATAAAACGTCATTTCGACATCCAGTTAGTTGCTGGTCTGGGCCAGACCACTCACTAGGAGGGCCTCGTCTTCCTGTAGCCTCCTTGGCCTCCTGGATAGCCCAGATTGGTTCTGTAGATGGAAGCTGAGCAGCATGTACTGCCATTGCTCTTTGAGAGTTCTGGGGAGTTCGTTTGCTGATTGGGGGTGCCCTTTCTATGTTACATTCTTTACACAAGCAGTCTTGGTAGAGTTCTGGCAACATCCTGTGTTGATGAACAGGGCTGGAATAAGAATCGTTGCAACTTACACTACTCTGTCACCTGTTTTCTGTCTATTTTCAATGAGACTTCAGGCAGACTTTCCCACTGCCACACTCAATATTAGATAGGAAACATGGTGACAGTGAGTAGAACTTTCTTTTGGTATGCTCCACCACTTTTCATGGCTGTATTGCAGTGATGCTTGCTAGTCAGTATTGAGTTCAAATAAAATGCTTGTTACACGAGGCACTCATCTTTTGCGACACTCGCCTAGCTAGTTTTCCTTCCATGGCAGGTACTGCCCTTTATATTCAATGTCCTATGTTGCAGCATCTGCAAAAACAGTGCAGTTTCGACTATTTGAATATTTCCAGTCATAGATGAAAAGTGATCTCAGCATTACAGAAGGGCACTTGCAGGGGCACAGCATTCGATATACTGAAATTTTCGGGGAGCATTATTTATATACTATTAGTACAGTATATACCTTTCCGTGGGATTTCCATGAGGATGTTTTAGCTCTGACATATCGGAGCACTACCCCTGATATAATATTTTGACTATGTGGCTGCATTTTTTTTATTGCTTTATAAGTGAAGAGAAAGTGCTGCTGAATAAAAATGTCTTAAAAATGGTTCAAGTGAAGTCATATGATGTCGGTACACACTGCCTACTATGTGTTGAACCCCTCCCCCATGTGTTGAAGCTATCTGCAAGTTCATATCTGGCAACTTCTAAGATGTTATAAAATGTTAGATCTTTTAGTTTATGATTGTCACATCGGGAGCATGCCCATAACATTTTATTTTCATCTATAGTCTGGTAAAACTTAGACTGTGCGACAATCCTCAAACAAGGACGCACACATGTCTGCACCAATGGGCGCCCACTCCTCCCGACTGACATAATAAGCCAGACGGCTGAATACTCCACTGTATCATCTCATTGCCGAGTACATTAGTAGAAAAAAAATTGGCAAAGCTTGCATTAAACCGCACAAGCCTTGAAACATCAAAACTGGATGATTTTGAAGACTTCTGGTTGATTACAAGCCTTAGCTAAGTGATGCAGGTTGTTTTTAGGTTGCTTATAGGTTATTGGTAGGCTTTAGCTAGGCGATGCTAGGTTCTCATTGCCCTTGTATCGCTTTGGTATCATGTCATACGTACTCGGGGTCTTTGGCTTCCTATTGTCACTTTGCAGCCATTGTTGGGCTTTAGTTAAAGTTGCCTGTTGTGGGATTTACCCCATTTTGGTCGCACATACCCATTCATGATGAAACGGTTTCTGGTACGAGGTGAACAAGGAATGATTTCCTAAACAGCTTTGCTGTTACGATTTTTTGTAGATGTGGAGGCGATTGGCTTCCACACTTTAGTCATCTCATCCGAGTGGAGCCTCTTCGGATGTCTTAAAAGTTGCCCAACAATAGTAGGTTTCTGGAAAACAGATTTTGAGTTGCAGCTAAAGTACCATTTTTCAAAAACTAGAGTACTTACATCAGCATATTTGTGCAGCAATGACATAAATCTACAGCAGGAACTAAAAATTGGGGGACCCTATAGCTTTGCCTTCATGAGTTGAATGCGATAGCGACATACTTTTTAGGAGTTGAATGCGACAGCGACATCCTGTTCCTAGTGCGTACTTCAAACACTTTGTGCATAAAACTTTTTTTGATTTGCTATGCACCCACAACGTGGCCTTAGATGGCCCTGCGACACATTTGGGACAGCCTTATTTAGCACCTGAACGCGTATAGCGATGATTACTGAGACGAATGCAACAAGAATGATGGAAATTGATGCTTGGAAAGTGAAGTTATGAGTCCTCAAAGTTCAAAACTCGAGCAGACGAGGAGGAGAAACGTTCTTCTACATTTTACTCGTCTGCTGACGTCAAATACGGCTTCCAATCACTGCACGTGTCTCATGCAGACATTCCGGAAATGTCACCTCATTGTAGTTTTCACGCAATACTTCGCTACCGCTTTTTTTGACGGCGTCGTTAGCATGGTTACTGCGAACCGTGTGGGTGGCCCCGCCGGGGCATCTGCGTAAGCAGGCGTTTGGTGTGTAGCGACACCATGGACCTGAGCTAACGGGGAGGGTTTCTACTCCCTCCCACGCCTAGTCGTGCGTGGCTTTGCCGTGTCCGGGAAAAAAGGGATCCTGGGAGTTGAGCAGACGCCGGGTGATTGGACCTTTAAGGCCCCCTACAGAGGCAACACATCCCTTTGGCCCTGGCTTGACGTAGACGGCACCCCTGGGCTGACCCACCCTGGGGAAATCGGCAGTCACCTTTTCCTATCTCTCTCTCTATCTCTCTACATCTTAGTCTTTTATCCTCTTTAAGGCTATCCTGTCATCTTCTCTCTTCTGTTTACTTCTAATCTTTCCTGGCAGCAAGGGTTGACCTTGTGTATGTGCTCCATCTTGGGCACAATATATTTGGTTATAGCGGCTGTGTACAGCTGACATTGACATGCCTCATACAATTTAAGGGCCTGTCACGACCCCGTGTTGGGCTCCATGGTGGGTGGCTGGCATGGCTGCCGAATTTACCCCTATTTTGTGGATTTTACTTCTCTCCCTTCACTGCAGATCGTCCTCTCTCAAGGGTGCACCAAAGACATTTCCAATAATTTCAAAAAACCAAAAGAAACTTTCCCCCGCTGCCACATAGTTAACTGCGAAACAGCTGAAACGAATGCCAGAACGATCTCGCCTATCGTTGTCTCCAAATGCCTCACCACTGCACTTGGTTCAGGTTACCAGGCTACAAGAATGGCCAGTGGGGATCTCCTCCTCGAAGTAAAAAGTCAGGCCCAGTATGTAAACTTCTCGAAACTAGAATCGTTTGGAAACATCCCTATCTCAATTACACCACACTGTTCCCTCAACATTTCTCGAGATGTTGTGTCCGATCAAGATTTGCTTGGCCTGACTGAAGGTGAGCTCCTCGAGGGTTGGAAGGACCAGCAGGTGATACAAGTACAAAGAATAAAAATCGGGCGTGATAAGACGGAAGTCCCAACAAAACATATAATTGTGACATTTTGCACCAGTATCCTTCCTGAACATCTCGAAACAGGATACTTGAAGTTGAATGTGTGACCCTACATCCCCAACCCACAACATTGCTTCAAATGCCAGCGTTTTGGTCACGGCTCTCAGATTTGCCGCGGCCAACTTACCCGTGCAAAGTGAACCACTACAGGACACGCCAGAGACGATTGTGAGGTGGAGGCTGGGGCCCGCTGCGCAAACTGCGATGGTGCCCACCCCGCATACTCCCGAACACGTCCAACATGGAAAATGAAATAATGACAATCAAATACACACAAAACTTAACTTTAAGAGAAGCCCGACGGCAGGTATCAGGATTTTTCACATATAAACCATCGTTTGCCCATAGTAGTGCAGCAGGGGGCAGCACTACAAGGGCCTGCAGCAGCTGCCAATGCCAGGCACAGTGCGTCCAGTGCCAAGTGCATCCCGCAAACCTCTGGACTGCCTGTCAAGCGACGCGTCCCATGGTGGAACGCTGAATGTCGTAATGGGCTAAAGAAGCAAAACAAGGCGTGGAGGTTTCTTCGGAACTCGCCGACAGCCGAAAATCTTGACAGCTTTAAGAAAATAGAGTCTTAAGGCAGGAGAACATGTCAGCAGGCCAGAAGAGAAAGCTGGCATAAGTTTTTATCAGGAATCAATTCATATACACAAGAGGCTGAAGTCTCGAACATGGTTCGTAGGGTAGCAGGAAGACAAGTACATTCACTCCCACTCGTAAACACACAGAGTGACAGCCTGAAAGATCAGGCGAACTTCCTCGGTGCACACTACGGGCAGGTGTCTAGCTCGTCACACTATACTGAAGCTTGCCAAAGATACTGCTACGTAGCTATCGCATGAAGGGTGAACCATTCGGTGGACAGAAGACGACGAACAGGACTGGTTTGCTCCCTCTGTGTGCTGTGCTCTGATTTTATCGGTGTAAACACACTGGCAAATAGTCCCGTCCCATCTCATCTTACGTAACATATTTGTGGTGGACGTGCTGGTCCTTTCCTGTACCCATCACGAAGCTCCACAACGGTTGCATCATCACGGGTCCTACCATGTCACAGGTTCAAGGTACATCGTCTTCACCACCTGCCTCTTCTGTGACTACTACCTACGTTGTCCTAACTCCTGCTCGTGATTCTGGCGTATTTTCCGGGCAGGATAACCATGACGTTGACAAGTGGCTCAACATGTATGAACGGATCAGTGCCACCTTTAGGTGGTACCCGACACTCATGCTTGGGTGTGGTTCGACACGCACAAAGCAGACATTACCAGCTGGGACA